ATTAAAGATGTGAGGGGGCTGGTAGAATATTATACGATATACTATTTGAAAATAAAAGGGTAAATGAAAGGTATAAAGAAAAATGGCACACAGAATTGAATACTGCCATAAATGATGAAGAATGTGTGATAATTAATACTACACCCCATAATATTGTACTGTTGATACACAATTAAGATGGCTGCAATATAGGATAATACATAGGAGTTTAGGAAACCAAAAATTTATGTTTAGAATTAGTAAAGTTCAGAACAATATGTGTATTTTTTGTAATAATGCAGTAGAATTTATCATTATACTGTGAGTGTGAATATGTAACATCTTTTATTGAAGATATATGCAAGTCCATGAAAGACCGGTGTAACATTAATATTATCATAGATGATAAAATGCGCCTATTCGGCATTCAAAGTACTAAAGAAAAGGCATTGAATCACATTTTAATTACCGCAAGAAAAAAATGAACAATTACCAAATGTAAATCATTTTTTTAAAATACTTAAATCGCATTACATAACTGAAAAATACATTGCTTGTGTAAATTCAAAAATAAGATCTTGGGAAACCAAATGGGAAAGTTACATTTTTTGTTTAAGTAATTTGTCTTTTAGTATGTCAAATGTCAATGTCATTTTTTGTCTTTAGTAATATATTATTTAAAACTCTGTTTTATTTAAACGTACATTTCTGTATCTTTTGGTCTTCGACCTAATTTTTTTGTTATAATCATATACCTGTTTTTTCGAAATAAATTTGAAAGTTAAAAAAAAAAAATTTACTTCAAATGTGCATTTTTTTTTCAAATGTGGCATTAATTTTTCTTGCACAGTTTTTAGGTGTTAAACGGTTAATCCCACTGGCATTGTTCTTGATGTATGTGGACACTAATCGCAAATAATATGTTTTTCTCTTTAAAAAATAATAGGTCTATCTAGTCAAAGTATTATCTGTTTTTTTAGATCGTGGTTAAAAAAATATGAACAGAGTATCTAAAAATAAATGTTTTAGCTTGTACAGAAGTTATATGCAATGACTGGGATAATAAAGCGCTTGGAGATTTATGCAGTGGAAATGATTAATTACGTTTTTATTTGTGTCATCTGCTAGGCTTTCAACATACTACAGTACAGTCCGTCTGAATAATATTCTAAAACACGGTATATCTCACAACAGAGTCTTCACACAATCTAAGGCTCTGACATTACAGAGGCAAGAATTAGGCCTACCCAGTCCAATTTAAACATACAGCTATTACTGGCGATTAATAGCCAAAATACAAGCCATTACGGCCATCACGCTTCAACAACGCTCAAGATATTTTAGTGCCTCTATATGTCCATAGTGAATTCGGACTGTCAGACATTAAATTCGGTTTACTCGGCTCTAGTGAATTCGACGCCCGAGTACCAAACTCTCAAGATATCTCCCCTTCAGGAGGTTGAATTCACTGGCGCCGAAATCCTCGTGACATTGGCCCTGGGATCTATGAAGCCCAAACCATTACTACTTCGCCACATACTTCCACTTTCTTTTTTAAGAAACTATCGGAGTTGTAATCAGTAACTTGAGTTCGTAAGCTTTGAAGCCAATAACAGTAGTTGTCAGTTGAACTAAAACACCAGCACAGAATTACTAACATATTTTGTGTTTTGGAAATGAATTGATGATTCACATTCACAAGACATTTCGTCCCTTGTACCCACGCGGCGTCGTTGCTGACACACTACCTAGTACAAGTGAGCTAATCCACTTGCTCATCCTTCTCGTGTACATACATACAGTATTTATCTCATACATGTACATACACGAAAAATAAAATCTGAAGCAGGCCTATAGTCTATTTTGGGCGATAACATTCAAATGGAGCTTAAATGAAATTGAAATTTATTTATGGTGATGAAGGACATTTTTTTAAAGAAATAATTAGCTTCTAAAACCTTTAATTTCTAATCTCTATATTGTCCCCTGAAACTAACCATAATTGCTTAGTAATATTTAAAAAATAGTAAGTAATCATAGTGCATATCATCATTGTCGTCATGGCGATACTCTGGCGATCAAGATATTTTACAAATCAAACCCTGTCTAGCTCCCGCAAAATCCCGAATTTCCTGATGCTAGCAGCTCTCCGCTCTCAGATTAATCTTAATTTATTGTAATGAATGATTGGAAGTCGGTCGGTCCGAGTAAAAATCAGCATCATCATTGAGCTGAATTATCCTCGTAAACGTATAGTAATATGATTAAACTTATTTGAAATTTTAGTAGCAATGATGTGGCAACTAATGTGCAATACATTTTCCTTGAAGATGTATGTCGTTAGCTGCAGATAGGCCTATATTAAAGAGTTATCCGTTTAGGTGTTTGTGTACATTGCTTAGATTTTACCAATAAGTATAGAGATATAATTGACTGTTAAATAATGTTATTGTATTGAATTATTTTTTAATGGTAATTTATGTGGGGTTTTTTTCCTATGTATTAGTTAGGATTTACTTTTGTTTGTTTTCTTCGTCTTGTGCAATCCAATATTAATTTCACTATAAGAATTTTTGTTGACTTAAATCTCATCTTTGACTGTATGCAAATTGCAATACAATTTATCGTATTTGTATTCGTAAAACGAGGTTTTTTATGAACAGGATACAAGCCCTTATTCTTAAGACAGACATGTTTCAATAAAGTCAGTTCCCATCATCAGTGACGATTATAAGTCAGTACCCGTATAGGTCTATATATAGCAACTGTCTTGCACTCGAGTATGCAAATTAACATAATATTGATGACTACCAGGGCCGATACTTAGCATATTTATGACATATTCGTGAAGAATATTACAACGCGCATGATGGGTAACAATGTGCTCAATACTTCGAGTGGGATCTTAGATAAGACAATAATCTTATAGTGATGATATAATATGACAAGACTTCATATAGTTTATAAATAGACATGCCGTCATATTGGAATTCAATATTTCAACTCTTTTATTTGGGCATTTTCATGAATAAAAGAGTAACATTTTTTGTTTCATTACTTCCTATTAAAACAAATACATACTGTAGTAACTACCAGTTGGTAACTTTGATTATATTACTTTGTTTATTAATATTTTCGCCTATGATTGGTCAGTATATGCTAATTATTTGTTTGTTATTCGTTGTATATAATTATGTAAATTAGTATAAATTGTTTTTCCTAAAAAAAACCAAATCAAGAGTCAAAATGTTTATTTTTGAAGCCAGAAATTATTCTTCGTCGTCATTTTGGTTTTTAAAATTATTGTTTTATTTTTTATTAAGCCACTTGGTTAAATGTTCACAGTATTTGAATATCATCATCATTATCATCATCATCATCATCATCATCATCATCTGGTCATTTGACTCATCAATCCTTTTTTCGATAATTTGTATTGACCCTTGAGTGAGAAATCACGTGTCTGATACATTCATCTAGGGCATTCGAGCTGGTGTGTTGATTTAAGCATTATTTAGTTGTTAATTCCAGATGCCTTAAAGAGGTAGAGGCGGATTGAAAAAACAAAAAGCTGACATAGATATTGAAGGGAGAGAAAATAATATATAGGTGAAAAACAGCAGATAAACGAGAGGTAAGACAAAGATAGGGAAAAGAGGACAGAGTCAGGAGAAAGAGTAGTAATAGTTAAGGAGCAGTTAGAATAATATAAGAAAAAAGTCTAGAAGAAAAAAGTATAAGAGGAAATACATAAAACTAAAGGTATTCTATAAAGGAGAGGTGGTGGGAGGAAGAGATTTTGTGGTTCAAAATGTGTGAAAGACTAATGTACTCAAAGCAAGACACAATAATAGAGATAAAAGACAGAAAGAAAGTGACGACAAATGATGGCGACAAAATAAAAAAGCTGGAAGAAGAGTTTGAAAGAGAAGACAGAAAGAAAGGAAGAGGATGCTGGATGGAGTAGGAAAGTGGGTGTAGGCAAGGTATGTATCGTGGGAGATTACAGTGATTGCCCAGGAAAAAAACTGCAAACAATTTGATGGAGTAGACGTAATACTAACTGAGTGGTAAGAGTGGAAACATAGGTAGTAATTAGATGGACATTTTAAGTAGTAAGAAAAAGTTTGCTAAAATATACCTCAATAAACACACTTAATGTAAGTTACAATGCCAGCATTGGTATTTTATTTCATATTATCAAATTTGTTCAAGTAGGCCTGTTATCTCTTTGTTAAAAATTTCTTTGACCTCAAAAATTATTGTACAAAACCTAACGAATAATTCTGCAAGCACCTCGAAAAGAAGCCATGTATTTTTTTTAAACCCTTGGATGAGAATTTTTTTTCGAGATGGGCTTCTTTCCAAGATGGTCTTCTTTTTGAGATTACTTTTGCAAACTAAAAAGGGCGGGATCTTCTTTTCAAAATGAATGTTTTTTGGAATTGCTACAATAAAACCATACTGAAGACTTTTCAACCGTGGAATTCGAAATTATGTTAATTATTTTTTAAATTTCACAAAAAATGAAAACATCATTTTTTCAATTAGGCCTATAATGATGAAAACATTCCGACGACAATCTGTTGTAGCCTACAACTAAATATATACATATATATGTTTTGATATTACCATAAAATAACAAATAATAGGCGTATGTATAGTGATTAAGTGTGTGTAACATATGTAACTTATATTGATTATATTAACACTTTTCTATCTAATGAATTTATACAACCGGAGTTGGCACCCTGCTAAAAGATACAATTTCTCCGTTATACAGTTTCTACAACTGGAAAATTGATAATGACAGGCTATTTTAGTCATCAAAGATAGCGTCGGTCTGAATGTAAGTATAATCTCGAAAAGAAGTCTATACTATCTTGGTTAGAAGCTCATGTGCTTCTTTTTTAGATGGGCTTCTTCTCAAGATTAAACCACTGGGCTTCTCATTCGGGGTTCTACGTCATTTGCAAATTTACGTAAATTAATCTTAAACTGTTTTATGGAAAATATTTCTGTTACAAAATCTGAGTGTAGACGCCGCCGAATTTTGTCCATAAAAAGTATATACCAATTACAATAACCGAGAGTCCAATGGCAGAAGAGAAAATTGCGATTGTTATTGTTCCTGAAGATGCCTTTTTATTAATAACTACGTGATCTTCCTCAAGAATTTTAGGTGTTGTATTCTTAGGTGACATAATATCTGGACCACTATTTTTATTTGAACTCGTGATTAATGTTGGTTTAGATGTCGATCCACTATTTAACAATCCATTACCCTTTTCCGAATTTGTAGGATTGTTTGGCTCATTCAAATCTGGCTGTCCTGGAATATTGTTTGTGCCGACAGACCCCGGCTTCTGAGCAACAGGAACGCTAATCCCTGGCAAACCAATGTTTGGTTTTGCTATACCAGTATTGCCATTAACAGCTGTTCCTCTAAAACCAGTACCAGCATCACCTCTTCCCCTGTCCTGTGTTCCTCCATTTACTCCTGGATTTATACCAGAATTAGTTCCACCTCTTCCTACGTCACTACCAGTGCCAATTCCAGTACCTCCATTCACTGTTGGCTGTCCATTACCACCCGTTCCTGTACCACCGCCATTTACTCCAGTGCCACCACCATTCACCCCAGTACCACCTCCATTAATTCCAGTACCACCACCATTAATCCCAGTTCCACCACCATTTACCCCAGTACCACCTCCATTAACCCCGGTACCACCACCTTCGCTACCAACACCACCACCACCACCACCACCTCCATTAACTGCAGTGCCACCACCATTGACCCCAGTGCCACCTCCTCCACGACCACCACCACCCCCTCCATTTACGCCAGTGCCACCTCCATTTACGCCAGTGCCACCGCCGTTTACCCCAGTGCCACCATTATTTACACCTGTACCGCCATTTACCCCTGTGCCACCGCCATTTACCCCAGTACCACCACCAGTTACACCTGTACTACCGCCATTTACGCCAGTTCCACCACCATTTATCCCAGTGCCACCACCATTTACACCTGTACCACCGCCATTTACGCCAGGGCCACCGCCATTTACCCCAGTACCACCACCATTAACTCCAGCGCCACCACCATTAACCCCAGTGCCACCACCACCACCTCCTCCATTTACACCAGTGCCACCACCATTGATCCCAGTGCCACCTCCATTAGCCCTAGTACCACCACCACCACCTCCATTTACTCCAGTGCCACCAACACTTACCCCAGTTCCACCTCCACTAGCGCCATTACCACCACTATTCATCCCCGTGCCACCTCCATTTACCCCTGTACTACCATCATTAACCGTAGTGCCACCACTGTTAACTGCAGTACTACCCCCATTGCCACCACCATTTACACCGGTCCCACCACCATTTACTCCAGTGCCACCACTTCTGCCTGATGAGCCAGCTTGACCATTTTTTCCCGTTGCATCACCAGTACCGCCTGCATTTTTCCCACCAGCTCCTCCGAAACTAGCGCTCGTACCATCCATAGGTAGAACATCCGGGACTCCAATGTCAGGTATCATATCAGATCCACCTTTTCCTTCGTTTGTTTCCATTCCGTTAATAGAGCCTTCGCTGGCTTCTGTTTCTGTTCCTATATCACTATCTGACTGGACATGTGCGTCGATATCCAGAAGCTCAGAGTGATGATCCTCAGCAGAATTACTGTCCTGAAGGCCCGTTGCAAGATAGGCGTTCACCTTTGGTTTATAAATCACTTCTCCGTAAATGACTCCTCTTTTGACTTTTATGGACCTCGAGTGAACTAGATGTATGGCCACTGTAAAATTGATATAACGGATTGTATCAATACACAATACTATCATATACGGTAATAATTGTAAAAAATAATGTTAATATGATTGTGGCATTTGTATCCAAATTGTATGGACAATAAGCCATGTTATAAGTTGGCCTATATGAAAACACAATTTAGTATTAATCAAGAATATTTTATAAAAACTGTCTTATCAACTGTTGTTCTTTATAAGTGTATGTTTCTGAAATGTTAAATACTGTACTAAATTGGGTATTATTATCAAATAAATGCTTAGAACAAAAGATTTTTTTTAATATACCACATAATCAATTTAGAACGATTTTCATGCAGATAAATTCTGTATAATTCGATATAGGCCTAACTTTTTTTTTCTCTAAATCTTATTATGTTTGGTTTATGAGCTCGGTTAAAACATATATTTTTAAAATTGTAATTTAATAAATATAACTGGAAATACATAAACTCATAGAACTTTTAGAAACATAGTTCTATTTAGAAAATGTGTATTGTTTTTTTTCTCAAACGTAGGAGCACCATTAAGTCCTGGTAGCGATACGTACCACACACAAGATGACACGAATACGTTCCAACGACAATCTAAATCTACCATTCGAATGCTTGCATTCATAAGCACTTATTGGAACATTGAAACCCGTTATAATAATAATTAACGTTAATCAATATTATATTAAACAAGTTTATAAAAAAATTTTAAATGTCGGCTACAAATATGTGAACTCACCGAGCAGCAGGAAAGACAGCATCCATCGTAATTGGATCGCCATTTTCTTTATTTTGGATGTGATTTACATACAGAGTCGTGCTCGATGCAAAAGTCTGTAGAAAACTAAATTATCGTAACTGAACTTGCTGTATTTGTCGGAACTCCTTTCACAGAGTCAGACGTCACACATTGTGTCAGGAGGGTGATGCGTCATATCTTTTCATGCATTTTGTAACAATTTCCTATCTAATTAGCTCCATTTTGATGTAGTCCTAATCGAGTGCATATATTTGATGACTTATAGCGACAGGATGCCCTGCATTAACCGTTAAATCTCGTTTGGGTGTTGCGAGCCGATGTTAGCTAAAATGTTTTAAAATGGGAGTATATTTCAATCACCAACATTTAAAATCTGCCGCTAAATAATATTCTGTAAATTAAGATTCTTTTTTTAAAAGTTTTATCCTGTGATTGACATTCAGATGCGTCTCAGTGTAATTCCAACTTTTGTTAATTGCAGAAGAAATGCGTTACTCACTGGAAAACCCCAAATTAACAAAAAAGTACATTGACCAATCACATAAATACATATATATCATTTTTCGAATCAATTTTGACTGAGAAGAAATACAAGTTGTTCAATTACGTAAAAAACAAGATAAACCGCTTATTTGATAGGGATTTGTTTGTGACTGTTATGCTGCTGATTTATAGGCTTCCTGTAATTATTTCACAAGTGAATGCACACCTATACTTAATACGTGCAATGCAATACATAATACTTAAATAAGTGTCTATAACACTATTATACGGTTTCAGGTTCATTATCTTGAACGTCCCCTCCTTTTATTGATGCATCACTATAATCATTATAATAGTGAAGTGGGGTGTGTGGAGGGTGTTAGTAAACAGATTCGTTTTGTTCATTCATTCATTTTTATCTAAGAGAAATCCATAGCAATACACAATCCTATAATGAATATCCATACTGGAATTTATATAGAGCCTAGGGGATTATAGGTCGCGCTTTGAACTTTGGTAATAAACTACCCTTCCCGGGACACTATAAACTCTTTACGGTAATAACTATGACCCACCGGACACAAATAGGGTAAGAAGACACAACATGGCCAGATGTAATTTTTTAAATGATGAATAAATAAAATAATCATAATCCCTGTATTTCAAGGTGTCAGGGCCAGAATATGCAAGGATTGTTTGATTTCATTATAATTTGTTTACGGTAATAACTATACTCCAACGGATACAACCCGGTATTTCAGGTTTTCGGGGCAGGATATACAGTACGAGGATTGTTTGACTGTACTCTAAACCCTTAACTACAATGATAATGTTTTTGTGTACCTTCGTTTTATCTTACCGTCCGTCATTGTCTCTGAGTACGCCTACCGTGATGATCCTGCCGAAGGTTTGTAAGCGTATTCTCCTTGCTTTTTCACCAGGAAAACCACTGTAAAGTGGTCTTATGGCTTCTTCTTATACGTTTGACAATGGTGTCTACCTCTATTTCACTTATTTTCTTTCTTAGGGAGTTCATCATCCAGGGTCCCGAGGGCATTTACTCATTGGCAGTGGGTCCCAGCCATCAATTTCAATGTTTGTAACGACAAAAAAGTGATATGACATCATGAGGTGGATCCAGGAGCTTAAAATAGAAAGGGGAAGAAATATTACCGTCATAGACCTTTGAACACTATTTCCATGTGGATCTTGAGTTTGTAAGTGTTACTAGGTCTTATTTTGTTTTATTTTCGAAAGAAGGCTGCCCTCGACCTTTATCATGGTTAAAAAATACAAACACATCATCCATTGCAAATTACTTTGATAAATCTCTGTTTTGCTCGACATATTTCTCACATATTCCTTTCGCTTTCATTCTGTCTATCAAATTTCTCCATTTCACTTCCCTTTTAACAGAGGAGGTCAACTTTTAGTACAACCCAATGTCTTTCCTACAGTATCCTAGTCCCTCATACTTTATCCTAATAATGGTTCCTGCAACCGCTATGTAATCCATCTCCGATTTGCATCTCACTTCAATTGAGGCAAAATTAGTAACAGTTCTTTAGAGAAAATAGTCATTTAATTACTTACGAAAGCATTGTTTAGAAAATGTATGCCATTTGTTTTCAAGACTATTTAAAGTATTGGCACCTATTTGATTCTCCGCTCCGCATTTCCCATTTTGACGAATGTATTGGTTGATTGATGTTATAATGTATTAAAACATATGTTGTGGGACTGTTACTTAATGGACCCTTCGAAGAAGCAGCTAATGTGCAATGACCTATTTCTTATAACTTTGAACCGTCATGTTGATAACGATATAGTTGATGTAGAAAGATAAGCAATGCAAATATTACAAAACGCAGAAAAATAATAGTGCTGTAATATGAAACGAAGGCCAAATATGATGCAAATAATTAAAAAATAATTGAAAGGTTCTAATCAATCGGCAGTCTAAGCTATGGAAGCAAGTTCTTGCTTTCCAAGAACCGCAGTTACCACTTAAAAAGTATGGAAATATATAATTGATTCTATATGTAACATATTAAAGTGATAATAAATAATAGCAATAAAAATAATAATACTAATGGACGTAGTGCACATAATGCACAAACAAGCCACTATGCGCTTCACATCATAAATAATTAAAATATTTAAACAAACATAAAACACAAATAAACATATATAAATACATAAGAAAATATAGAAAAATGTCACAACAAAAATGAAAATGCAGAATATCTGAGGGGTAATGTATTCACAGCTATCTTTCTCAGGGGTGTCGTCAGGATTCGCTCGACGAGGAGTGTGGGGAGGTGATGCCCCCTACGAAGGGCAGATTTCCCCGACAAGAGCAAAGTGGGCGTGGTCAAGCGTCGCTTAAAATGTTCTGAAAGTGGTCCAGACGATAGAGACGATTATCTACACACAGGGTTGAGGTATTCACTCTGTGGAATGACTGCTCTATTATTAGGTCAACATTTCCAAGCAGCAGCTGTAAAAGCCATGTTTTTGTTCTAATTATTTTTCTTTATTTTCCATACTTTTTTACTATCTTTTTTCACTGGGTTTTTCTGGCCGGCACTTTGGTCACTTCCCATGCTTGGAATTTTCCCATGCTTTGCAGAAGCATAGACCACATGTCTCATAATATTTGGTGTCAATTTAGGGTAGGGTGTGTGTGTGAGGACAAATTAAAGTGATTTAAGGGCAAACAGTCTACACCAGATATTTCAAAAACGGGTCAACTGACCGATTGAAACGTTCGGGAAAGTTTAACTAAGTTACAAGGAAGACAATATTATGCGTTGGGGACGATCCGGTGAAGGGTGTAAATTTGAGGATCATTTACATTTTTTAGGTGCAGACCGAAATATCCCGTCAACAAAAATAACAGGAATAATTGAAACTTTGTATAACAGTTTGTCAAGGTCTAGTAAGAAATTTGTATGACAATCCGGAGTAGTGTGTGGATCTGAGGACCATTGAAAGGAAAAAGTCCCAGACCAGATTTTTCGAAAAAGAATCAACTGATCTAAATGAAAAATTCGGGAAAGTTTAACCAAGTTACAATGAAGAAATGCTTATGTGTTGGTGACGATCCAGTTTAGGGTGTGAATTTGATTGTTATTTAAATTTATGAGGTTCCAGACCTAAATATCTCTATTAAAATATCAATGGGTATAAATGGAACTTTTTGTAAGAGAGTGTAAATGTGAGGTTTATTTAAATTTCTTACGTCCCTGACCTAAATACTGTATCTCTAAAAAATGTTCAATGGGTCTAAATGAAACTTTCTATAGTAGTTTGTCAATTAAAGATTTTTTAGACAGTTGATTAAAGTATATAAACGCGATTTGCGTTTTCTAAAATGCTTGAACCAGTTGCAGCTAGGTTGAACTCAAAAGTACCGTGATATGCATGAACAGTTTTTGCTATCAGTCATTCAATTTGATTTGATTTGATTTGACTTTATTTGGCATCATAAAAAAACAGTATATACATTACAGATAAAATACATAAAATCGATAAAAAGTTCATATAAAAAAAGAGACACAAAGGATGCCTGGAACGTCCATAAAGTCCAAAGACTTATTTCCAATGGGGTCCGTTGACAATTTAGACAAACAACAAAACAAAATTTATATAAAAACATCCCCACCTTCTTCAGTTGAACAATTATTTAAGAATTTTTTAAGTTTTATTTTGAAAGTACTGAGGACTTGACAAGATTTAATTTCCAACGGCATAGAGTTCCAATTTGTTATAGCATTAAGAAAGAAAGTTTTAGATGCCACCGAAGTAACGTACGGTATTCTACCGAAGTAACGTACGGTAATTGCTATGAACGGAAAATGCACTGGCCTAAAAAGGTCGGCTTATATATCTATCATTATGGCGTTGTGAAAAATAAAACACATTTATCTAGACTTATGTTTTCAAAAGTTTGTAAACTTACGACCTTTTTAGTAGACCTACTGTTACTTTCATTATTCTTCTCTGATGTATCTCTTTACTGATGTACACATAAGTACTAAGTCGATATTAGAACTGTTTGCATTAAATTCGTCTTCCTCGACAGCTTGCAAATCAATTGTTGTTAATAGCTATTAACTTTAAAAGTCCATGGCAAATATATAAGTGAGTTTATTACTTAATGAAATTAACTATACGGCTTGTGAAGGAAAGGATTAAATCCAGTTTTTTTATATGATATCGTACATTTCTTTATTTACTTTCGTTACAAGAGTGTGGTTTTGAACTCGGCACATTAATGTGGGTGTGACACATATAATGAATTCAATTTCTCTATTTTTACATATGGAAAAATACAACATTGACATGGTAGGCAGAGCGGAAGCAGCACAGACATGAAAGTCCAAAAATCACTACTGCCAGAACAGTTACAAGTATGAAAACAGAAAAAAACATTCAAATATAAATAATAGCATTTTTTTTCAATTATTTATACACCAGATAGGCTAAGCATTACTCGAGTAAAGAAGCCGAGAGAGATCGACAATTTTTGACATGAGTTCCATTTAGAAACAACTCTATTAATTTGAACATGTCAATGCATGAACGCTGTATGGACTAATTATCAGCTTGAGAGAAACAAGATGTATAACGATGAGTAGGACGCGAAAC